TCTAGGTAATAACTTCTGGTCTAAGGAAAGACATACCCAAATATAAAGAGACTACTCTAATGATACTCTCTGTGAGATTTCCTCATAGAGTCTCTTTGTGGGTCTGTTTAGTGCGAGCTATACCCTTATAGGTCCACCCACGACTTTAGCTAAGACATCTCCATATCTGTAGCAGATGAGGTCTTTACCTTGTTTTCAAATACAAGTAGATAAGTCGTGCTAGTCTTACCCGAGATCACTGATCCCAATTCTCAGTGTCTCTAGACTAGGAACATAGAATTAGGAATAAACGTGTGGTATCCTTGAATCCTCATAATCGTGATCTCATCACAGATACTCAAGAAATACCTGTTCTATTCCAAGGGGTTTATCCAGTTTATTCATAATATATTAACAATAATATCGAGACAAAATATGAAACAGGATAAAGAGTGCTTATTATTTATTTGCGACAAAAGGTCCACATCTTATGTCCTTATTTAATCAAAAAGATTGTCTCTAGGACACCCATATACTAACAGAAAAGTATTTCCATGAACTTCGTGGTTGGTTGGCCTAAGACTCAGGCTGGTCTTCACTCTATTTGGGTTATTGTGGACAGATTGTCAAAGTCTGCCCACTTTCTTCCGGTACAGGTGAGTTTCTCTTTATAGCAGTTGGCCAAACCGGTTGTTCGCGAGATCGTGAGTCTTCACGGGGTGCCCGAGAGTATCATCAGTGATAGGGACCGAAGTTCACCTCTCGGTTCGGGGAGGCGCTGCAGAGAGCTTTTGGGATTCAGTTGCTACTGAGTATAGCCTATCACCCTCAGACTGCTGGACAGACTGAGCGGACCATCCAGACCTTGGAGGACATGTCGAGGGCTTGCACCTTGGAGCAGGGCCCAACATGGGATAGGTACCTGGCATCTATTGAGTTCTTGTGCAATTGTGTGTTCCTTGCTAGCCTGGGCATGGAACCCTATGAGGCGCTGTTTGGTAGGAGGTGTAGAACTCCTACCTGTTGGTCCGAGGTTGGAGATAAAGCGTTGTTTGGCTTGGACCTTGTCCAATTTACCCCCAGCCGATTCAGATGATCAGAGAAAAGCTGAAGCGGGCGCAGAGTCGCTAGGAGAACTACGTTGTGGAGTTCAGTGGGGATCCTTCGCACGCGGTGTAACCGGATGTTGTGGAAGTTCGGGAGAACTTGAAAACTCGCGTCAGACCACTCAAAATTCTCGATCGTGGCGAGAAGCAACTGAGGAGTACGATCATTTCGATAGTCAAAGTACGATGAACGGGAAGAATTCCTGAAGGGTAATTCTGGGAGCGAGAGGACGAGCTCCTTCGTCAGTATCCCGCACTTCGAGACATGTATGTTTCTATTTTTGAGGAAAAAATCCTTAAAAAGGTGGGGTGAATGTAAGAACCCGCACCGTTAATTAAGGAAATAAATTAATTAATTAAGAGAAATTAGAAAATAATTTCATAATTGACCCTAATAATTATTATGAGGCTTTAATAATTATTGTAAGTGAGTAATAATGCTGAAAGTTGCTTTTCTGACGAAAAGTGCAGATACCGGTTCTGCTACCCGGTATACAAGTGGCGTCACTATTTGTTGGGGTGCCATTTTGTAATTACAACTGATCATAGGAGTCTCAAGTATTTAACGGAGCAACGACTAAGGGTCGAGGGACAACAAAAATGGGTGGCTAAGTTGATGGTATATGATTTTGAGATACGTTACAAACCTGGAAGGAAAATACAGCAGCTGACGCTCTGTCTTGTGTCATGGACTGCAAAGAACTCACCATGGTGACTAGCCCAGACTTACAAGGGCTGTCCGAGGAGATTCTTCAAGATCCAGTGACCAAAAATATTTTTACTGATGTGTTACAAGATGCTAATTCTCACCCAGGATATCAGGTACTCAAAGGAAGTTTGTGGTATAAAAACAGGCTGGTCCTTCCTCGGTCCTCTCCACGGATTACTGACATTCTCAACGAGTTTCACTTTTCTCCTTGGGGTGGTCATTCAGGGGAATTGAGAACATTAAAAAGGGTGGCTGGAGTTTTTTATTGAAAGGGGATGCGAAAGGATGTGGTCAATCGTACTTAGGAGACGTATCTGCGTTGCTTTGCTAGTGGACATCCAAAGGGTTGGGCTAAATGGTTGTCGTGGGCTGAATTTTGGTTCAACACAACCTACAATAGATCCATTCAAATGACCCCATTTAGAGCTGTCTATGGAAGAGACCCACCCACTATTATTTCTTTTGCTCCTGGAAGCACATCAGTGGCAGCAGTAGATACTTGGATGATGGCTAGAGATGCTATTTTGGTGGAATTAAAAAATAATTTGTGTCAAGCACAACAGAGGATGAAGTTGCAGGTCGATAAAGGGCGCAGAGAGGAGAATTATTTGGCTGGGGACAAAGTTTTTTTGAAGATCCGACCTTATAAATTAAAGTCCTTAGCCAGAAGAATTAATCAGAAGTTGAGCCCAAGGTTTTATTGGCCGTTTGCAATCACAGAAAAGTTAGGTCCAGTGACCTACAGGTTATAACTCCCTTCATATTCAAAGATTCATACTGTCTTTCATGTCTCTCAATTAAAGAGAGCTGTTCACCTTTCTACTGTGCTGCTGGCCTTGCCTCGATGTTTGTCTGCAGAATTGGAGCTGCAGGTACAGCCTGCTGCCATTTTGAAAACACGTCGATTATTGAATGGGCAAGTTGAAATATTAGTACAATGGGAAGAGCTGGCAGAATGTGATTCTACATGGGAGAAATTAGAAGATTTTAGGACCGAATTTTCTTATTTTCACCTTGAGGACAAGGTGAATTTTGAAGAAGGGGGTATTGATGGGCCTCTCAAGCCTTATGCCCAAGTGTACACTCGGAAGGCCCATCAAGGAAGGGGTAAGGACAAACCTCAGTTAGTTGCTGAAGGGGACACATGGCAAGCGATGAATGGAGAGGAAGATATTGGAGAAAAGGGAGAGGAGGAGGGAGAAATATAAGTTGGTTACGGGTAGAGGCGTGGGGGTGTGAAGATTCTTGTGTAAGGGTTGGGTAGAGCGCTGGGAAGGTAAATGCCTCAGTTGCTGTAAGGGATAGGTGTGAGTTGTATTCTCCTTTTTAATCGGCCAGTCCATTGAAGGGAGTAGTCCATAGTAGTTACTGATTTTGCTACTCTACTGTTATAATTTTGAGTTGTAGTCACGATGGTGTATGACTCAGTTTGCTAATAATAAAATTGTTGTTATTCATCTTCGTCTTTATTATTTCCTTGTTTACTGTTCTGAGTAAGGATTCTGGTACCAACAATGTCAAAGAAAATCCTTCAAATATGTTTTTGATGATCTCCTTTCTAGTTTCTATTATTCTTTGATCCTTTGGCTTCTTCCCTCCTTTGAAAGTTATGCTCTCCAACGATGACCAATCATCCTGTTCAGAAAGGCCCTTTAAATGTACACGAGTATGTCTTGTAAATGACATGGGCATGGAGCTTGAACATGTAGTCATCAACAACATGCGATCAGGACCAAATTGTGCCTATCAATTTATGATTTAATATCCTTAGTCATTACAAATCTTCATCCTCCACACTAGTAGCCATCTATTTCGTTTAGCTTGTCTCGAACAAGTTGTATAATCTTATTCTCATTCATGTCTTGAGATGTCCCCAAGTGCTGGCTGTGCTGCAATGATTTCAGAATATCTTCTGCTATATACACGAGCCCAAGATTGTAAACTCGAATGTCATCTCCATCTCATTGATTCCATTTATTGGAATGACTTGGTGATAATTCTCATAGCTGCTTTCAAATGGAAAAGGGCATAGTCTGTTCATTTTACTAAATTGTTTTTTTTTTTTTTGTATAGAATTTTACTAAATTGTTTAATAAAGCGTATTGTAAGAAAATAAGATTTTCTTTTGGATAAAATACAACCTCCACGGGAGGTAATCTTATTCGAGTGGGGAACATTCACATATGGTGGAGTTAGCTCTCTCAAAGAGGATTTTTTGCTTTCACAAAGACTTAAACCCAAGACCTTGCTTAAGCGGAATTAAATATGTATCACTTGAATCAACCCTATTTGGTAAAAAAAGAAAAAAATTAGTTGTAGATGAGTAACAGAAATGGTAATAAGAGGTCCCTTCATTTTGAGGATTAAGATCTTTTGATTCAGCCTAAAGAACTATTGTTTTGAGAAGCACAAATAGCTTTGCTTCCCCATGGCTTCATCAGATGATAGCGATATGACTGTCTTGGAATTTGAGAGTGTGCCTGCAAACAGATCATCAAATTCATATATGTAAGGATGAAATTGATCTTTGGTCTGTAAGATTACTCTCACAGTGCATGATTTTATATCTTTACACGTTGGGGAAAATTTGGCTTTCCTTGCTTCATTGGCTTATAAGAAAAAGCCACTCCCCATTAAGCCTGGACTAGTGAGGGTAGCTGTGGGAAATTTTTGAATGCAGCATTATATTTGCATATTTGTAAAGAGATTGTTTTCGGATTCGAACTCATAATCTTTAAGTCATAAAAGAACAATTTTATCACTGTCCCAAGTTGTGACCTTTTATTGAGTTATGACTTAATTATATGACTTCATACTGCAGCATGGCTAAAATCAGAGTATAGATTAATCCCTATGATTTGATGCAAATTATTGGTCATATGGTATTTGACATAATTAAAAATAACCTCTACTTTTTCGATTGAATGAGGAGGAGTTTATGCGGAAAGAAAAAAAGTGGAATTGGAATGTGGGCAGGAACTGCACTGAATGCAAATGGAGATATTTGATGTGCCCCTCCACCCCCTGGTTTCATCCTTGATGTTATGGACTCAATCTTCAACAATACCTCAAAATTTTCTGCTAATGATCAGAAGAGCAATTAGGTTTTCTGGTGCTATGGCATGTGTGGATCAATAAAATCTTTATTTATTTTAAGTGTTTTTCAATTTTTGATAACCATACAAACGCAGAGCGAGTAAAAAGGTCTAAAGCTTGAGCATGTTAACATACGAAACATGCAGGGAGGAAGCATAGAGTGTCCCATTAAGCTCTTGAACTTCAGTGACGGATTCGGTACCAAACTCCTCAACGAGAGATACAGCCTCTAAAAGTACACCTTCACCATTGACTCTGAGTGCTAGAGGCAAAACAGGAGGTATTGGTGGTGGAGGTGTCCCAAAAGGGTAGTTCATTGCCACCCAAAACTCGTTCTTGGAATTCCTTTTGATGTTATTTGGTCTTCCCGGAAGTTGCAAGAACACATCTGAGGTATTTGCATTCGGTCCGGTAAGCCAGAATCTCTGAATTCTGTTCCCCATATACTCACTAACAAGTACAAATGAACCGTTGTTACTTACTGCCACCCCAGCTGCCACAGCAAGATCACTGAGCAACAATGAGATTTGGTTGGTTGTTGGATCATAACTGAATAGGCTTCCAGAACGATCCGTGCTATTAAACAGTTTATGGAGATCACTGCAAAATTTAAGTTCCACAATTATAATAGGCCTAGACTAGATAGATTATGTGCTACTTTTAAATGCATATTTATCTTTGGTAGAGGATCAAACTTATGATATCATTCTTACATCACAGTTTTGAAGATTGAGCCAGGCTAATTGAGCTACAAACTCATTGAGATTGTCTGTATTTCCAATATGCGGAATAGATACTCATGTGATATGAAGTCATGTTAGAGGATCTTAGTCCGTCTAGATACAAATCAAAGGTTACTACGATTTTTTTCCTTTTATCTTAATGGATTCTTTCATTACTATTGATTTGTATCTGAATAAAACAGATTTTCTCAACCTCATATCACGTTAGAGGATCCATTTCACTCATGAAAATTCATGAGAATAGATTACCTAATCTTGAGAACAGAGCTAGCTTCTGAAAAATAAACGATTCCAGTTTCAGGGTCTACATCCAAACCAGCAAGAAATCCAAACGGATTGCCTTGGGCATCAGCAACAAGTTGGGTAGCAGCACCTCCATCATAAGCAACCTTCATTAGCCCAAAATAAGCATCAGCTATATACAAATCGCCTGTCTGATGATTGAAACTCAACCCCAAAGGCCTCCCACATGTTTCTTGAAGTGAAGAGAAGTCAGAAATGCCATCACAGATTGTCTTGTTCCTGGAACAACAATGTCAAGGTTTAACCAGCTTTAGTTACTTGAAAAGAAATAATGGACAGACCCATCACCCATCTTGATCGCAGACACATACCTGTCTGGGGAAATGTGAGCAAACTCAACGAAACCAGAATTTGGATTCTCATATTTTAGAATTCTTCCATCAGAAACACCAGTGTAAGGCCCTCCACCAATGGAGTCAAATGCTAGGGACTCAGGGCCTGTGAGTGATGATGGAAGAAAAAGCCTATCGAGTAATCTGTCGGAGGCAACTATAGACGGTGAACAGAGGAGGGAGATGAAAATCCCAAGGACAGCTATTGTGCTTGGAGCGTTCAACATGATTGCCAACAATGTTGTACTAAGTTCGAAACATTATGTATGTATAAAACAGAAGTTTGTTTCGTCCCTTCTTCCCCAATGCCCTCAGCTCTCCTTGTCATTATTTAAACGTGAAAGATCCAAAGAAAAGCTTCTGGGGCACAGAATCCAAGGATTCTTTGTAAGAAACGTTAATAGTTTGTTACAAGTTTGGATTTGATTACAATAATTCTCAAATGGACAAGTGAAGCTATTAAGTCTAAAAGTAGCATTAAGAGTGGCTAGGTTGTCCCTTCAGATATAGCTTTTTAGTGTTGTGGGTCGATTCATCCAGACCTGAAACTTGCTAAACGAGTTCTATCCAGTAAATACTCAAAAGTTGTCGGTTATATTGCTAATCGAGTTTGAAGTTCCTTACCATTTTAACCAATGATTGTTGGTATGCTTTAAGTCTCTTAGAGTGTATTTTTTTGATTAAATTTGTCCTTACTACAGAAACTCCAAGACTAATTTAATGGATGTAATACATAATTCACACATTAATTTGATTGATTAAATGCATATTCAGTAATCATGACAGTAATTTTCATCATTAGAAATTAATATGACTAATGTTGTATTCTTTACGAACTGTTAATTTTACCATGTATTCTCTAGTGACCGATGAAAATTCCTCTGCTTTCGGCCTGTCCTAGCACACCATAATATAAACTGATTTGAAACATTGCTTGAAAAATCTAGATTGTTTCAATCTTGCTAAGTTGAGCCAAGGTCCATGAAAATGGTGTAAGGAGATTCTGTAAGAGTAACACTGCGCCCAACAACTACATACAAGAGAAAGCCTAGAGTCACATTTTAGCATCTTTATGAGAAAAATATTACGTGTATATATATATATATATATATGTATGTATATATATATATATATATATATATATATATATATATATATATATATATATGGGAAAAATATTTCTGCAGTTAATGCAGATAAGTTATTTGCATTTATTCCCAAAACGACATCATTTTGGTATTGAAATCTTAAAAAATTATAAATATAAAGACTATTATAACCCTGAAATAAATTAAAATTACAAAAACACTATGATTTCCGCCCAAAACGACGTCGTATTGGGCTTACTGAAGATAACTTATCTGCAGTAACTGAAGAAAAAGCTAACCCTATATATATATATATATGAAAAAATATTTCTACAGCCACTATAGATAATGTTATCTACAGCTATCCAAAAATTACGTCGTTTTGATTAATGAAGGGTGTTTTTGTAATTTTAAATGAATTAATAAAGAGTGTTTCAGTAAAATATATATGATAAAAAAATAAATAAAATTATAGAAACACTATTCATTAATGAAAATGACGTAGTTTTTAGATAGCTGTAGATAACTTTATCTAAAGTGGCTGTATATATGGGGAATGTTATATTTACAACCTATTTTCGTTTACAGCTTCTTACAATTATATCTTAACCGTTGATTTCCGTCAATCAACGGTTAAGATTTTTACAAATCAAATTTATTAATTAATTATTAATTCAGAATAAATGACAACCGTTGATTGGTGAAAATCAATGGTTAAGATATGGTTGTAAGAGTTTGTAAATTATTTGGGTTGTAAATATAACCTCTATATATATATATATATATATATATATATAGTACATTGTATAACTCATATATTAATATAGGGAAAAACTAATCTCATGAAACATGAGAGTGTTTTTTTTTTTTTTTTTGATGAAACATGAGAGTGTTTTTATCTCCAATAGATTTATCGAAAATCATGACATTTTTTTTTGTAAATGGCGGGCCCCTATCATATATGTGTCACAACATAAGAAAATTTATCTATTATTGCATGAGATTAGATTAGATGAGCCTATTAATTTATTAAGAGTTGATATTCATTCTGACCGGATTGGAAGAGAAATTCGATGACATAAAATAAAATGTTTTGCTTTCCGTATACTTAATTATCCAAAAATTTGTGTGAACATGCGAGAACCGTAATCAAAAGTAGTATGTAGATTCTATAGAAGTTCATTGTTTTTGGCATGGTGCATAGTTTCTATTCATGCTTTTCTCTTTGTTCTCAACATCCATAGGCATGTCTTTTGTTTTATTTTTCCTCTGGCTGACAACGACTAATCAATATAATGCAATCCTTGGTGAATGTCCAGATTTTGTCACCGGTGACTACTAGGGTGTAAATGAGCCAGATCAGCCTATAGGGGGCTACGGCCTGGCATACGTAAAGCCTGGTCCATCTCAGCCTTCGAGGTAATTAGGACAAGTGAAGGCTTGTAGATAAGCCTATTTAAAAAACAAGGCCGTAGGCTAAATATAGAAAGTCTGGCCTTTTAGCCCCGTAGGCTGGCCTATTTAAGTTTTTAAATAAAAAAATATATAATATTATTTATATTTAAAAGATTACAAAACCTAATTTCTTTCTTTTGCTATGCGCAGCTTCTACATCAGATCTCACGACTCAGGAGTCTCACCTTAGTCTCACCAAAACCTAATTTCTTTCGAGCCCAAACGATCAAGTTTTAGTCCCTTACCGCCGGTCACTCATCTATTAAGGTTTAACAATTTACAAACCCTAACCCACAAACCATGTCTCTGTCAGCATGTCCCTTCTTCTGCGATTTTCGTGAACTAATCGATTTCATTTTTTATGTTGATGCAGAAAAGTGGTTCGGCTTTCGATCTGCGTCCAAAGAAAAGCAAAGCTATCAGAAGGCGCCTCACCAAGAACCAGGTACTCTTTTTTTTATTTCGTTAACTTTTTAGATTTTGCGAAGGTGATTTTATTTTGGATTTGCTACTGGTTTATACACTGAAACTGCAAGAAAAAGAAAATGCAAACTGACTACTTCAAGACACCAACTGTGGTTGTGGGTATTGCTCGAACCGAAAATGCAAAAGGGGTTTTCAGTCAAGGTGTTGTTCAGGTGAATTGAGAGAGGAATCGGTCAAGATGTGATGACTATAAGAAGGGTTCAGAGTGCCAAGTGGGTTTTCGAAGGTGGTTCCAAGTAGGTCCTCGTCGGTGAGGGAGAGAATCATTAATAGAACGGTGGGTCGGTGAGTGTGAAGATTGCTCGTGGTAGCTGTATGAGGGCTGTTCGAGTGGGAAGGAGGAAAATTTGATCTATAGGTTTGTGTGGTTTAGGTGAGAGAATAGTGTTAAAATGGATCGGTGATCTATACGGCAGTATCTCGAGCTACCTGGTTGTAAAGTCAAGTCAATAGGTGTTTAGCTTTTTCAGTACTTGATGGTCGTTTCCAATGCGTCATCTTAGTGTTTTTGGCAAATGATAACAAAGATGTGCTTATGATATCTTAGTGTTTTTGGAATTTCTGAGAAAGAAAATAGGATCATGATAACAAAGATGTGCTTATCTTGTAGGTCGATCTTCTTTATGTGCCTTGCAATCTCCATAGTGATATGTGAATTTTTTTAGCTTAAGTGAAGTAATTTTTCTCCAAATATCAACTTATCCTGCAATATCTGACGTTTTTGAATCTTTTGATTTATTCACTAGTAATTTTAATTTTGGAAGTGATGGTATCCTGTGTGAAACCTTATAAAGTGTTAGGGCACATGTTGCAAACTATTAAAAAAACTATTTTAAATTGACAAGACATTTAGTTTTTCAAAAGAATTAAGGGTTGTAGGAGAAGCATTCAACTTCTAGCATCCTGGATGAATTCATTTCCAACCGAATGTAGAGGCATTTTTTGGTTTTTAGTATTCTCTCATGTGCTAGTAGTTGTTTCTCGTGTGGTTTTGAGTTGGTGTTATCATCTTTGAAATTGGAAATGTTAGTTAACATTGATTCTGAGGTGTATAATAGTATTGTGTAGTTGAGAACTTTATTTTGATAATGTGATAGGTTGAAAAATATTTCTGAGAAAATTAAGATGACGTATTGAATTGCATTAAAACTTTTTGTTTTTTGTTTACTACCTAAGAACTGTTTTTTGTTTACTTACATCCTTTTATAGTGCTAATTTGTTTTGTTTTTTGTACTCTTTTTTTATATGCTTAGAAAATGGACTCTAATCCAAGTGCAAGTGGTAATGTTATTGCTAGCGCACCAAGTGACCACCCACTCTAATAACTTTGTTTTGCAGGAAGATGATGTTAAGAAGGCTCACTAGAAGATTGTGAAGTGCCAAGAAAAATTCAATCTTTGTTGTTGTTAAAAAATCTGTTGTAGAATTTTTATAACATGTGTTCTTGTTAAAAAATCTGTTGTAGAATTTTTATAATTTGGACCCATGCTGGAAATATTGTTTAATGAATGAGATATTTTATTTTTATTTATTTATTTAATTTGCAATATGGTAGGCCTAAAAGGCCTCATAGGCCATGTAGGCTTTGTATTTTTAAATAACAGGGCAGACTTGGCCTTTAAACTAAGCCTTTGATACGCTCACAGGCCAGATAGGCCAAACATTTTTTTGTGAAGGCTTAGGCCATGAAGGCCAAAGCCTGCCTTGCCCTGACCTATTTACACCCCTAGTGACTACCATGAGCGACATCTCAGTCTAAGGGGGTATTTGGTAGGGATTTTATGTTGTAGATACCCAGGCAACTTCCATTGGTTTTTCAACTTGACCATGTTTGGTACAAGTCTCAAAAAAATTTAACCAGGAAAATCCTTTGCCCAGCCATTGTGATTTGTTTGCCAAATTCCATGAAAATCACTGGTCCAGAAAATCACATGAAATGTGGTATTTTGGGTTTGCTGGGAAAAGAAAAAATGGAGCGAGAATTTGGAGACGAAAATGACCCTCATTTGCATCAATGCGTACGGTTTACCTCATTTGCATAGACACGAAAGCCTACAAAATGAGAACTACTTGTCATCATACCCATTATTGCATGCTGCAGTGAGAGCGAATTGAGGTTTTCTACAAAAAAATAATTTTGGAAATTTGAGGCTAATTATCCCTGACGCATCTCCATGGGTAAAAAAAGAAGCCTAACAACAACAGCTCGTTCAAAGATATAATTCATCTCAAGCTACAATATATTATCAGATAAACTACATGAACAAGAAGCTTTCTATCGGGTAAGTGAAAGGGAAAATGCCAATTGACAAGTGAAAATGTGATTTGATTAGTAGGGATGTGCATGGATCGACCCGAATCGATTTTTTTGAAAAATCGAACCGAATTGGTTTAAATGGTTCGGTTGAAAATAGTTCGGTTCAGAATTGGTTTGAGTCGACCCTATTTTGAAAAGAAAAAAAATTAAAATTTTAAAAAATAAAAGTTATAAAAATCAATTTGGTTCGGTTTGAAAACAGTTCGGTTTGAAAACAGTTCGGTTTTTAAACTGGTTCTAAATACCGATTCAGTTCATGAACTGGTTCTTTAAAAACCGGTTCGGTTCATGAATTGGTTTTTAAAATCGGTTATTTTAAGAGCGGTTTGGTTCGGTTCATAGTTCAGTTCATCTTTTTGGCTATTTTGCACACCCCTACTGATTAGATCAAATTGCTACGTCTTTGCCTGAGAATTATATACTTCCCCTGCTATAATACTTTTGCATCTATTAGTAGAAAAAAAAGATGTGAATGTGATCCACAATACTCTGCACAATCAGTATTTCCACAATACTCTACACAATCACCACCCAAGGCACTCCTTTGCACCAGGATACCCCTCATCTTCATAACAAGCAAGGAATTTTTAAGCAGCTAAAGCACCGTCTCTTGAAGCTTCTCACTTCTTTTTCCCCTAACCTTCACCCTCATCTTTGGGAGTAATGGAAAATGAACGTTGGTAGCAAATAACCCTAAATTTGATAGACTGATGAATATTTTAGGCAAAGGTTAGTTTTTCATTTCAGATTCAAAAATTATAAAAGGGTTATTTTCGTCATTTCAACCCATTTTTCCATCAATATTTTCCCTTCAACCAAACATAGATTTAGAAAATTTAACCCAATTTTTCGGTAATATTTTGACATACGAAACAACTTTTTTTTAACTTTTCTACCACATTCATTTTGCCACCATATTCCTAGTAATTGTATTTTTCTAGTAAAAAAAATTTCTCCTTTATCAAACGCACCGTAAGGGTTTTTTGAACAACATAATGCGAAATGAGAGAATTTTGACAAATTTAATTATTTTAACAAACTAATTGTCAATCTAATATAAGTGAAATCTGTATGGGGAATTTGCGCGTTTAAGTTGCATATCACTTCCATGCACGACTTGTGTAAAAGTTAGCACAATATAAGACGAGCATTTTTGCAGTGCATATTCAAGTCATGCACACACCCCCATGCACATCTTGTAGAGAGCAACACGTGGCCACATATTTTGGTTTTTGTACAAGTCCCACATAAGATGACGTGCGACTTAAATATACATACTCTCTGTAATTATTTCCCAAATAATTTGAAAAATTAATTAAACCAGTAAAATGTCTCTGATTTTGTATTAATTCATTCAAAAAGATCAATCTAAGGATTCCAAACGGGCTGAAGATCCCAAAACGTTCAGTTTTAATGCCATTCCTCTTGGATAAGATGAATGTGCATGCAGGGCTCCAAAATTACAAAGAGAATTTACCTAAAAAAAAAATACAAAGAGAATAAAGTGTGTAATACCCTGTTCTAGAACCGGTTTAATAACATTACGTATGACATTAGGCGAAATTACAATCACAGATATTGAATTATAATACGGAAATTTTTTTTCCTTTTTCGTTAATAAACGTTTCTGTTTAAAATCAATTTCGTAGTTAAAACCATTCCAATAACTGTAATCATAACTTAAACTATGTGTGGAACACCTAATGTAATTTCATTTAAACCATACGTTTCTTCCATAGTGTGCAAAGTAGTTCCCTTAGACTAACAAGGCTTAACAACTCATTTTTATCGTTATTCAACACTAAACATCTCCAATTTTAGTTTACTTAAGGAATTTTATACTATTTCTATGGTCTTCATTTTTCAATATGTTACAGATTTCTTCATTAGCTACACGTAGGTTCAAACCGCGCTAAAATCGGAGCACCGTAGCTCAAGTTATGAATTTTTGAAGAAAAAGTGTTGAATTTCACAAGGGGTCACGCGCCACTAGCGCGAAACCCGCGCTCGTAGCGCGGGAACACTGCCTTCTCTCGTCGTCTCACGGTGACAGCACGAACTTTAGCGCTCGTAGCACCACGGACTGAAGATTTCACCATACATTGGTATTTTTCCCGTAACTTGAGTCATACTTATCCGATTGATGCAATCTTGGTCTCGTTGGAAAGCTAAGAAAAAGATCTATAACTTCCATTAAGACCCAAGGGTCCAAATGTATCATATAAGATATGAGAAATGGAAAACTAGACATAATATTCTTAAATTTACATTGAGTCTAAATCCTAAAGGTTTTCTTTCACCTAACAGACATTACACAACCACTTCAATACATGATTCTTAGCTATTTCAAGACACACATTTATCAAATAGGCATCGATGCCCTTCCATCATATATACAATAAGTACAACATTACAATATCTAAATGTCTTTAATACATAACCATGAGACTAGCTACAAAACACTATAATCAAATCTTTGGCTCCCATCAACAAAAGAGACACCAAATGAGGTGAGCATAGGTTAAGTCCACCAAAATAAAACATGATGTACACATATCAAATATGAATCCTATACATGGAACTACTAAATGACATGCATAACCCAAAATAATGCAACATTTTCATGTATCAATTTAGTCCAAGTATGACCACTTGCCACCAGAGGCTCCTGCAGCATCTGTACCTGAAAGGGGTCCCCACAACACGGGGTGAGATATACGAATACATCTCAGTAAACCAGGGGTCCTTGGAGCATTTCTCCACGCCATAGTTCACTCACAGTATAATAGCAATAACCGTAAATAATGCAGTAAATACATATCCATGTAGTGTGTCAAACATCTCCAGGAGACATCCCTCGAGCTCTTATGTTGTCCTAAGGATACTCAGATGCAAATAGTCCTACTGGCCAGCTAAACTACCAAGTATGAATTACGCATTGTCATGCAACATACAAAACATAGGGAAACACCATCCTATGCCACACCCAATGCATACACATACGTATAACAAAGCATTAAACTACTTTATTGCATTTACATACACTATCAACGACCACTACCCATTCAGGGCTTGGTGAAACAATAAAAGGATCAATTCCCAAGGTCCGAAGCTTACCTCAATGAGCTTCAAAGCTTAATCTTTGTTTACCACCAATGAGCAATCAACCCAGCTTTACAACAATACCAACAATCAATACCTACATCAGGATACTAGACAATCTATCAAGGCGATCCAATGAATACCAATATTGTCATCAACCAAACAAACCTATTCAAACCACAATGGCATGAACTTACCAATTCAAGTGAGCTAATCAAGCTCCATGGCTTCCTCCGATGGTTGGTCCTTCAATGTTGGTCCACAAGGCTTAATCCCATCACCACAAGGGACACAATCAACCAGCCAACCAAATCACGGCTCAAAATGCAAAAACTCCACATTTTCAAGCATGAAAATTTCCAATATATTGAACAACAACCAAATGACAATCTAAGTCCATTTCAATCGTTTATTTATCATTCCTAACAACTTTTACAAAGGAATTTAACTTCAATCTCTCTCTAACATACCCCATTATTCATGCATTTTCTTAAAACAAAACCCTAATGCATATATCTTCCAAAATTACAACAAGAGTTGGAGTTCTTACCACAAATACAACCCCAAGGGTGTAAGGAAGAGGCACTAAGCTCAAGGAACCAAGACTTCACCTCTAACTCCACTATCTCCAAATTTGTTCCCCTCCCACCAAGAATATCTCACTCCACAATGGCTCCCATTCAAAATAAGCTAGGATTAAGGATGAAGGGAACTTTTGAAGTGGTTTAGGCTTTGGAATGGAAGGATTTGAGTAAGAAATGGTTGAGTTATGGTTTAGAGCTCACAACCATGGCTTCTCACCCTCTCCTTCACGATTTAGTGTCGCCGGAAGAAGAAGAAGAAATGAGATTGGGTTTGTGTTTTGTCACTTATCATAGGTTAAGTTATCTAAATTGGGTATCAGCTCATCTATCTAGTTAACTCCGTTCTCTTTTAAACTTTACCCAAAGGTCTGAAATATTTTTCTAGAAATATTTCTACTTTTATTTTTATATTTTGGGTACTTTTGCCTACATCTATTTTTACCCCAAAATTTTCACTGACTACTCTTTTCACCTCAAAAATGACCCTAATTCCTTTAATTAGATAT